CATATGACAATTTGTCTAATGAGAGTGTGTGATTTCTATAGTTGATAAAATTGTTCGTATTGCATGGCCTACTAATTGTTAACTGTCAAAATGGTATTTTATTCATACAGAGGTTTTTCCTCCGTTTTTGGATTATATTTTTTCATTTTCTCTCATCGACTTTTAAACTAGTTTGAGCGAGATTCACAGTGTATCATTATGTTGAGTTGTACATCTTACAGTTAAATTGTTTTACTGAGGTAATTACTGACTTGTTTTGTACACATCGTTCGGTGAGAATACCTTATATTGTGAACAATTAAAACAGCGCAACATGGTTCTTTCAAACTACCAATGTTGATGTCACGGACAATTTGCCTTAGTCTGTTGTCGATATTGTAAATTATGTTCGCAAAAGATGCTCAAAACCTCACGCCATCAGCTAACCAACCCTCATTAAACWTTGATGACGTTTACGTTGGGTTCTATTAGATACAGACGGGTCGATGTTACCAGGTTTTACACGTTCAATTAGAAAACACGAGTAATGTATTTTATATGTATATATGAATTGATGAGTTTAGCATGCAGGGATACTTACTTTCAAGAATAAGCTTCGCTTTTTGAGGGAAAATCTCGACATGGAGCGATTGCCTTGAATCACAGGTATTGGATCAGCTACACGTATAAAAAAATATACAATGTCATTCACTGCATTAAACTTGGCTTGTACTCACATTTGACGTTCACATGTCTGTAACAGAAAGCTGCGATGGACAGAMACGTCTAGGTCACTGGTAGGGGAGCTCAAGCTAAGAAGCAACTTTAGGCCCCATACTACCTGATCCACATCGAGAAACACTCCATCTGTTAAGAGTTCTTTGTTTACAGTTAAATACAGATAAATAAAAAATTATGGCTTTACACTARACAGAAGTGATTCAGTTACCCGGTCATAACTTGTCAGTGAAAGATCTGTAAGTTTCGCGAAGGGCCCTGAACAATTTAACATATAACTTTTAAAGAGARCGGTATAGTTTTCGATCTCACCATCAATAATCAACTTTAAGTTGTTCCCTGAAACCGTTACACTCTTCAACTTAATTATTAATCTTGATATTGATTAACATATTCAAACAAACCTAAAAAAGTTTATGCCTATTTTTATTGAGCATGACGTCATKTGAGTCCAATCCAGGGCGCGCTTAGGGCATTATTAGCGGTTCATTTAAATTAAAAAATATCATTTTAGCTCATTTCTCTCTAACTAAAGGAATGTAAATGTCTGAATAAAGAGGAAAAAAGTCTTATAATTAGATTCTATTTACATTGTTAAAGACCTAATGGATTAACAACAGTATACGGTACACTCGAAAATGACTAAGAGAAGGTACCAGCAAACKTTTTGGCAATGATTCTGTAGTTTATGTCATATCAGTAAAAAGGGATCCCACGCAGGGTTAAGCATCAGGGACTGTAAAACAACCATAGACCGTTCTTAATTTTTATCCATATTGTTTATCTCAATTACACAGGGCATGTATCATGGCTCTCTCTCACAACACGCTTCAACTGGTGTAGCATGATTGCTGTTTGAATGTATGAAACTTGCTTGGACTGTAACATCTTTTTGTACCCTTAAAGATGACATCTATCGTCGAGCATACGGGACGTCTCTATGGACACACAGTCACGGCCGCAATTGCGCTATACCTTTAAGTAAGTACGTCAACTACAAGACATGAGTAATGAATGTTTTCCTATAAGATATTTTTTGAGTTATTCCCTCTAACTTATGTTTTTACAGTGCGCAAGTTAAAACTCTCCACACAATCTTCGAGGACAGATAAAGCTTTACAAAAAATCGGACAAAGGCAGTTGTTCTTATAAGGTCTTAAACAGCGGGAAAGCCGAACGGATTCAAAAGTTCCTTGTGAAGCTATTAGCTCACTGCATTACCCGCGTCAGACCTAAACATCAACCACTGTCCGACAAGAGGTTCACTTCACCTGGCATGACTGGTGACACAGCTCCAGTTGAGAGTCCCTTCAAAGTGATTCTAAATCTGCAACTGGCAGCGACACGTTATTCGGGTCTGGCTGTGAGAAATAGCACAAGAGCACCAACACCTTGGTTTTCAATGATGTCAGAGAGAAGACATATACATAGAATCAACATAGTTGATATGAAATAGAAGAAGGTACAGCGATTTGATATAAAAAAGAAGACCAAAAGGTTGCAGTCTATAAACTGAGTAATCGGTAACTACCTTTGATGTCTGCATGTCAGCGGCGGTCACGAGCRGGCATCAATGAGACAATGAGTGTCATAATTCAGACACAGCTACGGCAAATCAAGACTCAGTATCGACATTTTGTACTTATCAACTCTACAGCAGCATTGAAAACTGCCTTAGAGTTGTTTTAATAAAAAAAGTTCAATGTCTAATTATTTTGTGCAAAAGTAACAAGCTTCAGTGCGCCGCAATCTAGAATTTGGGCGAATTTGGAATCGCCCAGAAAAGCCGCCATCTTTGATTTTATATCCACAATCCTTTTCAGTCTTGCATTATTTAGCGAGGGCGCGTTAAGAGGTCACTCTAGCATGTGTTCACAGCGTTCATTTTGGAACGTGCTCTGTCTTCAAGGGATTGATTTGAGCAATTCACAATTAATTTTAAACCACCACAGGTAGTTTTAGAAAAGGCCTCAGGACTGCAAGGAACAAAATAGACAAACATACAGACATGTAAATGTTGTTTAAATTCATGCAGTTTTACACGGCCGGATCACTGATTTGCTCTAGCGGTGAATTCCAGACTGGATATCTCCCAAACAACACCTCTAGTGTGTAATTATAATCGATTTTAATCTTTAGTAGATTTCTTATCACTGGTCAAGTTTTATTGTGAAAAATGTTTGTTTTTTGAAAAGTAACTGTTTTTCTCTTGTTGACAGAGATTCTTAACGATAGTAGCTAGACAAACAAAACAAGATAAAACAAAACAACAAACATTGAAATCAAGTACCGTTTATCAGTGATAATCTATATTACATTCATCTGAAAAGTACATGCTATATAGCAACTCCGAGGTGCWAATAAATTTCCAAGCACTTCTAGTCTACTTTTTGAAATAAAGACTGTGTCATTTTTCAWGTTTTGTCACGTCGTTAATCAATGATATTGTAGATTCAATAWTTTTTTTTATTCAGTGGTCATCGACTTTCACATCATAATGAATTCTCACTTAAATATTAGTGAACTATGTATGTTTAATACGTGAAAAAATAATAATTYAGGACCAGATGGGTTATTTCTCTAATGTAACCCTTACTTTTTTCATCATTATAAATCAGAGTTTTTTGAATGTAATCATAAACTTCAATGTAAACACTTAGTTAAAGAGGTGAACCTCAACAATGGTCCATTACTTCAATTCCAACGGCGGAAGGCACTCAAAATTTAGTGATTTTTAAGTCTAACATAAATTATTCGCTTTTTCATAAATCTTCTTAGATAACATATTCTTCATTTTATTCGGCACGCCATGAGATTTAACTGAACAAATAAAAAATAATAGCCGAAATTAAAGGCACGGTGCTCTTATTGTCTAGAATAAGGAAACATTGCCATGATTTTCAATTTAGAATTTAGAACGACTGATGAGCAATTCATTAGTTCATTTCCCACCACAGAATGTTTTTCTCTTTCAGGGTGTATCCTATCTTTTATATTCCTTTGTTGGTACGTTAATGATTTACCAACTTGTAATTAGAATGAGGAAAATCCGTCTAAATTGTCAGTGAATAACAACCATTTAGAAATTGGAGAATTTTGTATTATTGCACTGTAGAAAATTCACGCTAAGATACTTACTAGTGTCTTCAACCAAATCAGACGTTTCATCGAGTGTTCTGGTTCTTTTCTTTCGTTTCATGTTGTCAAGCTTTAACCAAGACAGTGTATTTGGAAAACTTAGTGTTCACGCGCAATATGAAATGGTTAATTTGCATAACTAAGCACCGGAAGAGGACAAGAGATTCGATTGGTGGACTTCAAAGTTATCATTCTTGATGTTTATTCACTTCTGCAGCTGGCAATCACAAAATAAAATACAATTTTCCTGCTCATGTTGGGAATTTATGTTATTAATTAAGGAAAAGTCTACCGTCGATTTAATACACGTCAATATTGCTGTTTTTATTGCGATTAGGAACAAGGCGTCCGATCGACCACTTTGCGGAGGTTGCTTAATGATAATGTGTATATAGAGCGGTCGGCTATAAGAGTATTTGCTGATCGATACATAGAGGTTGTCTATTGATCTCACAATAATACTCGAAGTAATTTAACCTTGCTTTAATTATTTCTTTATCAATCATTTTCACATCAAGTAATCACACCGCCTTCAACAAACAAGCAGAAGACACGATAGTCTCGCATTTATTACAGTGAGCATTATTYTAAAAKCGTGTGATATTATCGGCTGCTTTTTGAATACGACTATTATACCTTAATTCCAACTAATTGGAGGATTTCGCAAAGTTTTCGCATTTATACCCAAGGTATTTATTAGAAATTAGGTAATGCGTTTTCATTTTATCAGATCACTTATATCATTAAACCAATTTCAGGTTGCGATGTTTAATAGGTCTAAATATTCTGGCCAGTTTATGGCGTAAGTTGCTTTGGCTGAATCGAGACGAATAAAAAATCGCCATTTTCCAAAAAAAGTATGGTTCAAAGGACAGGTGTCCGTCTTCCTTGGACATGCATTTAAATGTTACGATTTTCAAAAGGTTACAGTTCAATTGGCATTTTAGAATTTCAAACTCTTGACTTTTTCAAAATTGACTTATTTGATTTTTTTTTTTGTGGTGGGGTTGATTTTTAACTACATTTGTAGGTTCACATTCAAAACTCGGCCCAGTCCTCTCCTCGTTTCTGAAACGACCAATTTTGCGCAAGTTCAAAATCCCKYGAACTTTGACAACATATTGTGCATAAATGACAATTAAAAATCACATTTAATCGGATATTTTATTTATTTCATTTTAATGAAAGGATAAATGGCCATAAAAAGAAAATATTGACAAATGCACAAAAACACTTTTTTGCACATTAATATTACAAACTTTCTGAATATCATTATGGTAAACCCTTTGAAATTAGAATAGTATTATTGGGCTTTAATAACGACTTGTTGGCACAATCGACTAAATCTAGATGATGTGTTTTTGACTAGAATAGTTATAACCCATGTGGCAAAACAAAAATGTTGTTATGTCTACWGAACATGGTTTAAACTAAGTATAAATTTGTCGATCATAAGCCATGTTGTACGAAAATACAAATTCATGCCAACACGACGTTTTCTTGTGACTGCAGACGAACAGAAGATATAAATGAATTGCTATATTACACTTTAGAATGACCTTACTYAAGTACCCACAACAGTGCACACTACTGAACTCAGACYGCATGGTCAGAAACATTTCACATCGAAACAGACCCCTTGAATCAAAGCAGTATCAGCTTGGGGACAAAACAAAAGATYTTTGCCCTCTTGGGGTCTTAAATCTATTGTTTTGCTTGCSCRGTTTGATCTGCCTTACCATGAACTGCAGCTTCAGCTTAGTTTATGGATACTTGAGTAAGACAAAGATTATTTTATAATTACTTCTAAACACTAATTMATCAACCCCACCATCATTGACATCTGTACAACAAACATAACAACAAATCACAAAAATCAGCATTACACAGCAATGAAATCATTAGTACCAAAAGAAATATTTGACAATTGCACATGAAACTAAAACAGACTATAGACTCATTTTTYAAGGTAGAGGTTCTAGCACGGTAGACAGAATGAACCTATCTAAAGCTGAGGTAGAGATTTTGGCTAAGCATTTCCATGAAGCTTTGAGTAGTATTWRGTTAGTGGCCTTTCAATGTAGATGGCTAGTAATAAAATTGAGGAAAACAAGTAACCCCCCATCTTGATAAGGGATAGCCCCCTACTTCTTCATGATGAACAGACACATGGAAATAATAGTCAACACAAGAATCCTCCTTGCAAAAAAAAAGCAACATCAAACAGAACAAGGGCAACCCTCTAAGATAAACAGCCCCAATTACAACGAACTACAATAGAAAGTGGGCCTGCACTATGCYGATGGYTCTACTTTATGCTTCAAGAGGTTCRGAGGAAGGAAACATCTTGATGATTATTATCAATTCATCACAAAAACTTGTTGGCAAAGGATAAGATATTGGCCACTAAGTTTTTGAATAGAAGAGAATATTATTTCTGAACACAATAATACTAGTGAATTATCTAAGTGTTACAACACTGTACTCTTTTCCTTCTGTCTTCATCTGTAGTTGGAGCCACATGTATGGTCTGTACATTGTTACTGGGGTGACTTCCATCTGATGTTGGTGAGTCATGTATCTGTTTTTGAGATACAATGTGGTAGATTTCTGAAAAAAAACATAGTTTTTAAATAAATAAATGCAAAACAATCTTTAAGTAGGTAAACTATGTTTCAAAAAGGATGGACATCAAGAATGGAAATTGTTGATAATAATCCATGTATGGCTTGTTTAATAAGCAGTCCTTGATTTTRGGATTCCTGTGTGGTACTTACACACAGGGAACCCATTTAACCGATTCACCGCACTATGCGGAACTGAGCCTACACAACTGTCCCATCTTGAATTGATAGRTATTTTTCATACAAACAAAGTGAAAAAGAAAAATGTTTGAGATCAGTCTAAAACCAATAGGTTCTATACMGTATTTACTCGAATAGACGCTGCAGCGTCTATTTCATTTTTCACGATCCAGCTGCGGCGTTTATTCAGGGGCGGCGTTTATTAAAAAAACTCTTTATTCAGTACTACATACCATACTTTATATTGTATCTTTTTACTAAAAAACAGTAACGAATCTCAATATAAAAATGTTGTGTTCATTTTTGTCTATTCAATTTATGATTTTAACCAGACTTAAACTTCTATTTCAATATCAATGTCCACCTCGTGGTCAGAATCTAACAGCTGCTGAGATCAAACAAGTACAGTCACTTCAAAATAAAAAAGGTTCTTAAAGAAAATAAATTCCCATTGCTGGTATCAATATTTCCTCAAATTGACACCGCACCAAGATGCGGCGTCTATTCGGGGGCGGCATCTATTAATATTTTGAGCTTTAAGTCTGGCGTCTATTTGAGGGCGGCATCTATTCGGGGGTGGTGTTTATTCGAGTAAATACGGTATATGTCAAGGATGACTTTTCTTTTCTTTTTTTTATTTGGAGAATGACTTAATTCCCTTGGAATTATGGATATGATAATAATATCATCATTTGCATATCAATGGATGTCTGATTCACGAGGAAACTACTGCAGCCAGTCTGAGAATGCACTCCCCCCCTACCTGTTAATATGTTTTGAAAAGCTACTTCAACATTGGTAGAATCCAAGGCAGATGTCTCAATGAAAGACAATCCATTTTTCTCTGAAACAAAAATCAATAAAATTGTTACTAAGAACTTTGCTGGAAATATAGCAATTCATAAACTGCGTTGGGGTTAGCCAAGTGCTACAAAGTTGAAGATTCTAATGAAGAGCTAGCAAAACAAATTAATAATCATCAAAAGTAATACACCTATAATGTATAATATAAATAGCACTGGACTTAGACCTCACAATTATTAGGAAAAAAKTACTTTTTGTGTTTTTCAAAAGGTTAACTAATGTTTGTCTATTGTTGATAGGATTAGTATTATGTGCAAAGGAATGACAAAACTGTCAAGAATGATAACAATATTCTAGATTGCTATTATTTACAAATTMAGCTGATTTACAGAAACTTAAAAGACAAAATCAGATCATAAACTTCATGCATCTCTATGGAAGAATTTAGGATTGTTCAATGGCAAATGGCAAATGCAATTCATAAAAATTTATGAAAATGTATACAAACGTATCAGACATAACTGGATTTTCTTTTTAAGTTGATAAGTGAAGTGTACAATGCATCATTGAAAATAAASATTGCTTTTTACATGTCTTTATTATGGACATAACAGATTCAAATCAAGAAAATACCAGGAYATTTTATCCCTTGTTAGATAATAATACACCACTTAATCAAGTTATTTATRTACTCTCACCAGCAAATGCTTTTGCCTCATCAGTTGGAACTGCCCTAAGGTGTCTTAAATCACTCTTGTTACCAACTTGCATGATGACAATGTTACTATCTGCATGATCTCTCAGTTCTTTTAACCATCTTTCTACATTTTCATAAGTCAAGTGTTTAGCAATGTCGTAGACCAATAAAGCTCCAACAGCACCTCTGTAATACCTAATAAAATACAAAGCAACTATTAACAAGTGTTTTTTTGATGTCTTGGGTAATGAAAAGAACACAARAACCAGGMWATGAGTTTGGTATTTATTAGCAGTTAGCCACAAATGTTCATTTAAGTGCACAAAATAGGGCATTGTGGGGATTGTTAGAAATTTTATAGCTTCAACTCATCCAGTCGGCAGCTGGTTTCACAGGATCAACCACCACATAATCATTTCTATTTTCTAAAGAGTGTGTACATAATGTTATGAGAACATTCTCTTCAAATCAGCTTCTGTCATCTGAATTAGTTTTCTTTATACTGAATACAAAAATTCAGACAAAGACAGTCAAGTCAAAGGCCTCAAATAATTTTGCTGTCACTTTTTGATGTTCATTTTGTCTGGTTATCATCAATTTACCGCTCATACAAAATAGATTTTTTTTTGTCAGACCTCAATCTTTAAAATTTATAATTATATAATTTTTATAAACTAGGTGATTTAGGAAATAACGTTTATTTRGTAAAGTTGTTCACAACATAAAGCCACAGAGGATCTGCCAAAACAAGAATTGGCATAAAGAAATTCAATATATTCCAAAAGCAAATAGAATTTTTTTTTTTTTCACTAAATGAAGACTTGTATATATAAAAAGATCATCCATTTGACCAATCATTTATCAAATTGATCTCAGCATTATGCATCTAGTATTCAAAACACCATGACTCCAAAAGAAAACAAAATGAATAAAATATTGCTAGATGTTTCAATATTTCACAGAGTGACAGGAACGGACAACAGAGGTAAATTTTGCATATTTCACAAAGAACCCACTTAAAAAAGTTTCTAATATGTCAAAAATCAGAAGTAACATTATAAAATATCAATCATTGGATAGAACATATGCTTCTCTTAAAAAGAGCCTCATTGAGTTGGAAATAATTCGTATATTAGTGAAATTTGTAAAAGAATTTGTACAACTGGCATAGGGAGCTGTACAAGGTCATAATACAAATATTTCAATGTAACACCAGTATTGCCAAGCAAAGTGATGACATTGACAGAAAATATKCAAAATAATAACACTTACGCGCTTGTTATTGCTCGATATCGTTCTTGCCCAGCTGAAAGTCAAAGAGAAAAACAAAACAGCCCGTTAGAACTAACTGAACTTCGCTAAAACAGTCCGTTCTTGGTACGAACTTCACAAAACAATCGGGCGAAATCTGAATATTGATGACTCCAAAATCCRTATAAATTCAGGCCGACGACAACTTCGGCTTACTTCCTAAATTTTTGGAAATCGTCAACTATAAAATATAATTTTTGTTTAGGAAAATCTGAGAATATGCCATGAAAAATTTCAATTMATTTTTACGCTACAAGTCACCCAATCCCCTCCCCTTTCCGGGACCAACTTTTTGCAAGACAGCTCAAGTTTCGAAATTAGGATGAGCAAATCATACATACCGGTATCCCATATTTGCGCTTTTATAGTTTTTCCGTCGACTTGGATGCTTCGTGTTGCAAACTCTACACCAATGGTAGATTTCGATTCCAAATTGAATTCATTTCTCGTAAATCGAGAAAGTAAATTTGATTTTCCGACCCCAGAATCTCCTATAAGTACAACTTTGGGCACAAAAATATAACGATAAATTAGAATAGAATTATACAGGAATATTTTGAGCTATTCTCCGATCAATACTCTAAACTCACCTTTGAATAGATAGTCGTATTCATCATCCTTTGTCCCCATAGTAAAAAGTTTCTGTTGATACAACCAAGTCTACAGTCAAACTAATCTTATACAGCGTCCGAGTGGGAAGTAACAAGCSTCGAAAAAATGACTTCAGAACGCATCAAAAATTATCCAAAYATCAAAAATAGAGAGATGTATCATTAACCTATAAATTGAAGTCTTCCTAGTCCCAGTTAAGCTTCGAAATACCCAAAGATGGCCCCGATATTTTAAGGATTGTCAACGTATATTTGTAGCGGAAGCTACGAAAAATGGCCGCCCTCTTGGCAAGACCTACCCATCCAAATAAGGCGAATGACATCATCGCTTGGAAGCGAGACTAGGTGTAAAGGTTGACGTTGGCAACGATGACAGTATTCAATTTTGTTGCTATTTGTAATCTATATATGCTTATAGATTATTACATATTTTGATAAAATATTTTCTAGAATTATATTTTCAAATATCTAACTCGTAAACTAAAATTACTATTTTTTATTACAATATCAATCAGCGAATCAGCTCGTAGTCCACGRGTCGAGTTGACCATGCTCTAGTTCAGGGCYAAACAAAATGGCCTTTGATTGTAAATAGTCAAGAGTCGTCAATTATATATTCGAGTGTGACGTAAAGTCTTCCAGGTCGAAACTATAGTGCGGTCAAGACGGAACGAAACTAGAGGTGCAAAGAAGRTTTGAGTTTTGTAAAACCACAAAAACTRTAGATATATTTTTYCGCCGAAGACTATGCAGCTTTAGGACAGCTRTTRTACCATTGAACTGGAAGACGATCAATAAGATTTTAAATTASTTCTAAGGGTATTATTTTGAATTTTATTACCATCTTTCTAAACAGAGATGGTTGTCTTTGAATACTTTCTGTTTTCTAGCTTGTTTTCTTTTTCTTTCTATTTCTGTCTGTGAGTGCAGCTTTCTCTTTTCAGTGTGGTYGCGACCAGTTTTTCCGTCTGGCACCCTTACGTTACTGGTTCTACTACAGATATATTAATACGAGATATCAACGGGAGGTGTTCCCAATGACTGCAATAAGAGTTTTCATATATTATTTAAAATAATAGCTGTAGATTCAATAAAATAATAAAGAATTTCCTTCTTCAAGCTTCACTAAATGAAATTATCCTTCAGTCCAAAATCCAACTTTTAATTTTCCCGAGCTTGCCTTTCTCATTATACTTTCAAAGCATTCTTTAACCGGAAGTCATGTGGACCTCTTAGAACAATRRCAGTTTTAGTGCGTCGCAATAAACAAGCTTTACCGTGACTAAACCAGCGTGCGAGCAGTCTGTGCTTCGATTATGACTTTTTGAAAGACCTCCAAGATCAATGGACTTCGTTTATATTGTCATTTTCCTTGCTTTTTGTCGAGTTGCGAACTCAACGATATATCGTTCCATAATCTGGAGTCCTGAAAATCCAGTGTAAGTAGCTTTATAATAGTCTTCAATTTTAATCGACCCACTTTCGTCTAAGCTTTTATTGCATCCCAAGCTGAAAGTGTTGGCTCAGTTTTGCTAAAACTCACTAAAACCACTATGGACAATTCCACTAGCTATCKACAGCTAAAGCATTCGGCACATAAGAACTTGAACAGTTAGTTGTAATCCTAATTTGATAAATTATTCTCAGCTGACAAGTCTAGTATGCAAAATGGTAATTCTGTTCATCGCGTTTCAGTAGAAGACATAACAGGCTGTTTTTCAAAATGTTCAAATCCAAGAAAGAATCGTTTCTTCTGTAACTAATCCTTCCCTGCCATAGGACATTGGTACTTTGGTATACCTCTGACACGCGTCTCTCTTGTATATATTGCTTGCCTATGATTTTGTTACTTCACAAGCTAGTTAACAGACACAGTACCATGTTTTATTAATGAATGCATGCTATTTTTTTCAAACAATCTTTTGATAGCATTACACTGATATACATAACTACAAACTTGATGCACACTCAGTTTATTTTCGTTTTCACCTTTTCGTTTTTGATTTTTTTTTTCTAACAGCTCTTTGCCAAGATTCTGACAKTCTTGAATTATGTTTTTTTTAAGTCTTTAGTTTTTCATTTCCTAGATGAGTAAGAGTCTATTTTTGAACATAAACATTGCATAAACAATAAGAGCACATCACGAACCGATCTCGTTAATTTGGACTCAACTCAAGTCACTACGGTAACTYTGTGGCGAGGAAATTATTTCTAGTCACGAGTTATAACACTTTCCCGAATAAACAATATCACGGAATTCAGTTTTTGATGGATTTTATTAAAGTTTTTCATTTTCAAACAAAGTCTGAGATGAAGTGTGAGATTGGATGAGGGACTCGGGAGCTTGGATCGAGGATAAGAGGTTTTGGTGTAATAATGTTGAGCATTCTGATTGCCTACTCAACAACAACAATAATCTTGAAAAAGAATACTAAGTAGCGAAAACGTCATAATATACCATAATCRTATAATCACGGTCCTTTATTCGTGTTTTACTTGACCTGTGTGTCAATTTTGTCGGAGTTTCGGTAATCCAAACGAACTGTGGTCTCATCCACAACCCAGGGCTTATGGGTAGGGGCAGGAAACCCGAAACAAGAAAAGGCTACGAAGGAGACTGAAYGAAGTGCAGTTTTAATGTTAGTCTATGTTTCGCAGCTTTAAAGAGACCAAGCTTAGATGCGTCTTACCGAGGTCGATGCAGTACTTTCTATGTCCCAGTCTCTCTCTGATTGTCACCGACAGAGAGCAACAACCGAAGAAAGAAAACTTGTATGAAAACATTTGGTTGGTAGATCAACATTCCTATAAAACCTGCAAAGTKGGTAACACATCGAAACTGTTGAAAAAGTGCAGCACCCCCCTGACTTTGTCACGGTTTGATATCCTGTTCCTTGATATGCATCCATTATCAGGGGGGCTGGAGTTTAAGTTTGGCAAGAGTTATTATATTATTGGTAAGTAGGTGTTTAATCAGTATATCGTCCCAGTCTCTCATGACTATTCAGTCACGCGCCTTCYTTTTATAATGTCATAGCAACGTCAAATGGGACRCAAAAATCGCTTGAGAACAAAGAGGGAGGACATTGTAGATCTCACAGTATGAAGATGCAGTTTTATGTATGCAAGGATGATCAAGGTATACTGGATTACTAGACCGACTAATTATCATTCCCTCAAAGTCTTACACTTACACTTTATAACCCTATAGGTCCCTCCATTCTGACTCTTTCTCTTCTTAATACTATAAGTAACGGATACGCAGGCGCCACGTAGAAAGTACC